CATATTATAAGTGTATGAAAATTCATATATCTGTGTATCAATATCTACTTATATCATTTCTGTTCAATGGAAGTTATACAATTTCAATGATACCGGTACTTAAATGGGAAGTCTTACAGCTGTTATAAAACTGCGCATTCATTTTATCTTACGAGTAATTTTGCTACCAATTGATATAGTATGACAATTCTATTCTACTGCAGTACTTAGAATTCTACCACTACTCACATTAAACCTACCATTTACTTTTAGGCTATTGTATTAATCATACAATATAGTGAATAGTGCAGTCATTTATTTATTTCGTTTCTATGACATAGCTCTATTTTGTAGAAATCAATTATGCAATCATAACAACAGAAATACTGCATCATTACATTTTACGGTGACAAAGTATTTATTTTACATGTAAAAAATTTAAGCTAATGCAATAATTAGTTCAATTAGAACCATTGAATATTGAATAATTTAAACATTAATCGAAGACGAAGCGGTTGACAACTTTCAAACAGTTGACTAGGCCTAGTTGCCTTCAATAATTGCAATGCGAACTGTATGCACTGAGGTCGGCAAACAGTGTTCACTGTGTGCAGGCACTTTGGACGTCGTGGCACTTGGACGTCGTGCAACAGTCAAATATTGATTGGACGTCGTGGCACTTGGGCGTCGTGCAACTGGCAGAGGATTTGGATGTCGTGCAAATGATACTTCTTTACAATTCTACAGTGCGCTGTTTCACGACGTCCAAGTGCCACGACGTCCAAAGCTTGTAGAAAGACTATATTTTTGGCAGTTACTGTACTTTTGGACGTCGTGGCACTTGGACGTCGTGCAACAACTGAAAAATTATGTTTTGGACGTCGTGGCACTGGAAAAATATTATTGGACGTCGTGGCACTTGGACGTCGTGCAACACTCCCAACGAAAGTGGGATTAGCCACAGTGCCACTATAAATCCCATCTTTACTCAAGTTTTTCTTTGACGAAACCAGACCGGGTTTCCTTCTTAATTTTAATGAAGAAGCAATGAATAAGCCTGCACAGCCAAAGCTATTAACTAGCTGATTAACTAATTGTTGAAATCAACGGTGACGTCATGTGAGATCAGCTGATTTTATTTAGCAGCTTAGACACCCAGATGTGGTTGATTTATCGTGAAGTCGATCCATATTGTGTATTTGGCGATTAAATTGCAAGGTTTGCTGTGAGTTTTTATAACTTAAATAATTTAGTTGCCAAAATTGTATTGGTTATTTTGTGACGGTTATACAAAATCAAATCACTGTAAGATAAAGACGTGATGAAAAGATGTTTCTTTTAATTTGAGTAGGCTACCTGTAATCTGTAAGAAATATGTCATCGACTTACTATCCCAATATCATCCAATGATCTTTACTAAAGGTACAATTAGATTTGAAAATCAATCACAAATTCTTAATATGTTAAAAATTGGTTTAGATTTACAAATATCTGCCCGTAAAGGTTGAAGTTAGAAACGTGTGAAATTTAATAGCAACAGCCCATTCCTCCCTTAGTCCCTTACTGTTCCTGCATTCACATATTTAGCTTTAAAATTTCTTCCAAACGTCTTTAAGGATCAATTTAGTGATTGATTACTATAAAATCATCAAAACACTCGGCGTACATATTGTACGAAAACATGTATTTATATAACCTAATTTGATACATTAGGACGATAGTTCTGTAAGGCCGTATTTTAAAAAATACATTAGGTCAGTACTTAACTGCACGAAAGTTCGGAACTAACTGGGCGTTTTTACTATCAACCACGCATCCGACTCTTTTTTTTAATTATTTTTCATGTGTCTCTATTGTCTTTATAGAAGTGCCACACATAAGGAACAATATAATTAAACGAACGTGAAACAAGATACAAAACACAATTTGCATAGCTAAAACCGCATTAATATTAATTTTGCAAACGATTATACCGTTTCCATAAATTATTAATACGTTACTAGTTATGGCAATAATGGAAAAAGACGTACAAATTAGACCGTAATGTATTCTATTGAATGTATTGTATAGTTTTTTGTTTGTGGGTTGCTTTCAGAAAATATTTGGCATGATTTACATAAATGCTGGTAAAGCTGAATTTCTAACCTATACCATCAACTTTTAACTCTGCAATTCTTCTCATACTATTGTAAAATATAGCTTGTTTTGGTGTCTGTTTGAAACGTTTTCGTGCGTTTTAGCGAATTTCCCTATAGGGAAGTAGCTATTACCGTAGGTGGCACGGTAAGACCTAGACCCGGGACCGATTTACTTTTTCATTTTGATGTCCCCAGAGGCCAAAAACACCATTCGTTAAAATTTTTATATATGTATATATATATATATATATATATATATACGTCCGTGAACGCGATAGCTTGAGTAATTTTTGTCAGATTTTGATGAAATTTGGTTTAAAGGTGTAAAGCGGGATAAACTTGAATGAGTTCGCGAACCAGCATGATCGGACCATGGGAACGGGGCTTTACGGGGGGTTTTATGGGGTAAAAATTGGTTTTTCTCACTTTTGACCCTCAAAACACAAAATTTCCCAATTTCTCTTTAGACCTTTTTAAAGAGCTTAAAAAAACAAATAATTTAGTATATAAAAGTAGTTTTGTTCGGTTATTAGTAACGGAGAAAATTAAAAAAATGTAAATTTAAAATTCCCATGTTATTCTTATGGAGAATATTGTCAAATGTTGTAGTTTGCTTTTATTTATTTTGTTCTAAGCTATCAATATTTTACTAAAAAACACACTTTATTAGTTTCCTTGTAGCAGCAAACCTAGGTACTCGTTAATACCTAATGTTATTAAAATATATTTAATTGAAAATCAATTCAGACAAATGGAAATTCGCTTAGTCGGCAGGTTTGCTGCGGCGGGGGTATTTGATTTTGATGTATACGACCACAGGGAATAGACCCTGGGTGGTCTATATTGGCTGTGATACAACTCACATATTTTAGGGCTCATTTTACAGTGATCATTTGGCTCTTTGTTAAGATTAAGACAAACATGATTTCAAATAAATTGTTATATGTGGTTTCTAACATTTATTCGTCTGTTAAATAACGAAAAGTAAATAATAGCACAGAAAACGTACTACTATAGTAGTACGTTTTCTGTGATAATAGTGAACTTACTAATACACTCACTCAACACATGAGCCTATACTGGGCAGAAATTAAAATGAATTCATTGTCTTCAGTTTATTGATAGAGATGTCATGTTGAAAGGGGATTGTAGGGTACATGCCCTAACTTTGGTCTACAATTTTAAGAGTCCTCTTTGTTTTGTCCTAAGGACGCTAGGCACGAGTCTGGGATTGTTTTTCACATTACTTCAGGCTAGATCTAGAGGTTGCGGCATTATCACTTAGATAAAATCCATTGGTGACTTGGCGGGGATCGAACCCGGGACCTCAGGGACTGAAGTCCCGCGCTCTAACCACTACGCCAGCTCTCTTTGGAAGTACAGTAGTTTAAACTTTAAAGTGACAACATACCACAACGTCAAGATTGACCCTCAAGGATGTCAGAGTCTTGGTTGAATCACAACACAGATTGACAATGCAAGATATAGGGGCTCTTTAACTTGTACTAATAATAGACCTCTTGGATGAAAGGATTTGATCCAACCACTCATTTATAAAACATTATCTATTTTCACGCTCGTCCTAAACTTTGAAATGAGTAAGGTTTGTGCATACTATTAAAAGAAACTACCCCAACGATTTTCCCAAAATTTTTGGGGAATCCCTTATTTTAGGATAAAAATAATATACTTAGGCAAGATTCTGTTAAAGGAAAATTCAAGTTTCGTTAAAAATTCGAATTGAAATAGCTTAGATTCTAGTCGATTTAGTATAATTAGTAGCTTAAACTATTTTCATATTCCGGGGAATTGGTGAATACCTACATTTATAGGTTAGTCTTATCTTACTGGGATAAGTACAAATTGTACTACTGTAGCTTTCGAAGCTCTTATCAAAGACCTCACGTCATTTATGACTGAACTAAATTCTAAGAACCTAATTTCCACGTGAGAAGAAGTGGCACTCCTCTTCAGGTAAAATATTTCGTAATATTCTTAACAAAATTAAGTTTAAAGGTTTAATAATATTATTATTTTGTGTGCCATTACGTGTCTACGACGAAATGGTCTAAGCATTGGTCTTTCTGTCGGCCCTTAGATAGCCATTTGAGTGATCCCAAATGACAAGTGGCATCTTGGTTGAGAATCGGCTCAGTTTGGGATCGAACCGGCAACATACTGATTAGAAGGCGATCACTAAATCCACTCGCCTACCCATACAATTATAATAATAACTAGGCTACACAACTGGTCTTGTCATGAGAGCCACGTCGAATTATTGGCAGGCCTATATTTACACATTACACTACAATACCAGACGTTTCGCCCATGCCCAAACAGTGTACCAATTAGACAAGGTTCTTATAGGAAACTCAACAATGTTGCGATGACACTGCCACTTAAGCTGCTAATGGAAATAATAATAATAAGTTGACAGCCTCAGTTTTGCGCCACAATACATATTACAACAACAATTAACAATAACGTAGGTAACATACTTTTGCTCTCGTAAAATTAAAAGCCACATATCATGCCCACTTTACACCTAATCTGTTGAAATTCAGTGCAACATAACGCTGTGTAACTACTGTATTTATAAGAAGCAAATCGGAAATCCACTACAGGAGACTAGAGTTGGGACTCCTAGTCCCAGATTTGATCTTCAAGCTCCAAAACTAATAATCTATGGAATATTAAATAGTGGATTAATGACATATCGTACAACTTAACTTATTTTAGGGTAACTATTGCATCATTCTTGAAGGTAAAACGAATCAACTAAAATTAAATTAGACAGTGATTTATTATAGTCTAGATATAACTTATTGTTCTAGTTGTTTTGGGTAGCCGAGAAGTTGCTACAAATTGACCACCTTCACTTACCACGGCTTCTCCAGGAATGTAGCTTTAGGCTTGACCGCCTGCTGTTCCCTGGCGTTCCATGTGTTATACTTGTGTCTGCCGCTGGTCCTGGGGGGTGCCACGGGGGAGGCACACGCAGGGTCGTAGCTCTCGTCGAAGGGGTTGAGATGTTCAGGGTAGTCACTCGTCACTCCACTCATGTCACTTGCAGTCACTTCAAGTAAGTTAGTGGGTGGCACAATTTCGACGCAATTTTCTTCAATTTCGCCAAATAGACGCGTCCGCCGAAGACGTCCGCAGGATATTTAAATTTTAAAACTTTCGGTAAACTTTAAATTTAATTAGTTTGAGTTTGATAAACCATCACTCCCGATTATAATTGGTAAGAACTATAAGTATAGTGTTTTCCTGGTAGATAAAAAATAATGTTCCCTTAAACAAATACACTAATGATTCAATTATATTTCAGTTTAAACCCCTATACTAACTTTTATCACTGTGGTAAAAAATCGACTGGCAAAGGCGCACTTGAGTGGTGTTCCCTAATTAATTTACAACCAAACAACAGTTGAATGTCAGTTTAATTGAGAAGCCGCTGCCAATTGACTCGTACTGACCAGAAGCGAACCAATCTACCACTTGAGAACTCAATAAGGAGGCCAATCTCGTAGTCGGCTGGCAACAGCAGCGCAGCTCAGCGGTAGACGCCCGCGAGACGAGTACACGGCGGAGGTGGCTGCGTTATCACCAGAGTGTCACTATCAGAAGTGACGACGACAGTGCTGCTATCAATCGGGGAACTAGACAACTACAAGCTCACACCGTACCACCCTAGTGGAGATTTGTGTAACCATTGATGATGCAAGCAATGACTTTGGGTCTCTTTTCAAAAAGAAGGCCCATAAGTCCCAATTAATTGGCCCATAATGGGCCAATAATTATAAGTACCCTATGAATTTTAGATTAGGTCATGTTAGGTTTGTCCTTCATTTTGTGGTAATTGGGCAAATAGATGGTGGTCCCATTAATATTTTTTTCTTTTAGCGAATTTCCCATATAGGGAATAAGCTATTACCGTAGTACTCATGGTAAGACCTGGACGCGGGACCGATTTTTTTTTCGTTTTGAGGTCCCTAGAGGACAAAAACACCATCCGTTCAAATTCATATATATATATATATATATATATATATATATATGTATATATATTTATATATATATATATATATATATGTGTGTGTATATATGTGTGTGTGTGTGTGTGTGTCCTGATCCGATTTTGATGAAATTTGGTACAAACGTGTAAACGTACGTTTATTAGAACGAGTTCGCGATCCAGCATGATCGGACCATGGGAACGGGGGTTTACGGGGGGTTTTATGGCGTAAAAATAGGTTTTTCCCATTTTTTGACCCAAAAAACTTAAATTTTAGCAATTTCTTTCCAAACCATTTTGTAGAGCTTAAAAAACAAATAATTTAGTATATTGAAGCGTTATTATGCGCCTAATGGTTACGGAGAAAATTCCAAAAAATTGTAAATTTAAAATTCCCATGTTATTCTTATGGAGAATAAGTAAACTGTTGTAGTTTGCTTGTTTGTGAACATATTTTGATCAAATTTGGAAAATGTTTTTATTTCTTACTAACTATTCACATAAAAAAAATCAGATTTACCCTCCCTGATGCAGCAAACCTAAGTACTTGTTAAACTAATTCTATTTAAATCAAGAATAAATGTTATATTTTTAAGTAGACATTTCAGTGTAAATCCAATCAGTCAAATGGAAATTCGCTTAGTCTGCAGGTTTGCTGCGGCGGGGGTATTATAATTTATACCATTGACTATACACCTCTACCTCTGTAGAGGTGTTGTAGTCAATGGTTATACATTTCTCCATCACGACTACGTTAATAGTCATACAATATTATAATACAGTATATCACTAATCCCCTGTAAGAAAATAGGCCAAAAATACTAAAAATATACAAGTTTTACTAAAATATATTTTTATATAAGATCAATGTAATTAACTGCATATGCCATTTTATAGCTGGTAGACTACTAGCACGATTTAGGTATACATAGAATCCCGTTGATAACAGTATGTGAATCTTATTCTGTTTTTGCATCGCAAAATCCAATCAAAAAAGACAAAAATAAAATAAAATTGCTTCTTAAAAAAAGTCGAGATAATCTACCACAGTGAATTTTACCTTCGTTCAGTCACAAATATTGCAGTAATTTATGTACACTGTAACGCCTTTCAAACGTTGGGTCTGTTAAGTACGTTGCATCGACGTGTTAGTGTGGTATCTGTAGTCGCAGGCGTTGTAAAATTCTTACTGATGTCACATTTGTGGATAGTTTTAAATTAGAAAAAACGACTGTCGTACACACTCACACCTTCTTTCTTTGTACATAACAGTTTGTATAAACATATATTGTTGATCATTTGTTTTTTTCAAATTTCCACGATTGAATGTAAACAAAAAAGTAGAAAAATGTGTTTATATTTAATTTGGTTATAATATATGTGTATGTTGTATTTTTAGCGAATTTCCCTATAGGGAAGTAGCTATTACCGTAGGTCTCATGGTAAGACCTAAGCCCGGGACCGATTTACTTTTTCATTTTGATGTCCCCAGAGGCCAAAAACAACATTCGTTCAAATTTTTATATATCTATATATATATATATATATATATATATATATATATATATATATATATATGTGTCCATCCGCACGATAACTTGAGTAATTTTTGTCCGATTTTGATAAAATTTGGTTTGAAGGTGTAAGGCGGGATAAACTTGAATGAGTTCGCGAACCAGCATGATCGGACTATGGGAACGGGGGTTTATGGGGGGTTTTATGGGGTAAAAATAGGTTTTTTGTATTTTTGACCCTAAAAACACAAAATTTCACAATTTCTTTTTAAACCATTTTGTAGAGCTTAAAAAAACAAATAATTTAGTATCTTGAAGCGTTATTATGCGCCTAATTGTTACAGAGAAAATTCAAAAAAATTGTAATTTTAAAATTCCCATGTTATTCTTATGGAGAATAAGTCAACTGTTGTAGTTTGCTTGTTTATGAACATACTAGCTGTAACCCGCGGGCTTTGCCCCGTTTAACTTCTTAATTTTCAAGATTATCTCGTTCGCATGGCTCAATCACGTCCTGGTTGAAGTTTGTTCGCTACGCTCACTCACCGTTGGGTTGGAGCTCGTTCGCTGCGCTCACTTGCCTTCAGGTTAGCTCGTTCGCTACGCTAACTCGCCTCCAGGTTGAAGTTCGTTCGCTACGCTCACTCACCTTTTGGTTGCAAATTAGCTGTTGTCATAAATGTAAAAGAAATAATAGTGCTGCACCCTGTTGGTAATCCTTGTAACTTTAATGCTATTGAACATCACAGAACAGAACCAACTTGTTTAATTGAAACAGCTGTTAAGATTCAATAATTCCATTTCTCATAAGGTTAACATGGGAAACTCCAGAGCCACTGGGGCGGAGCCCGAAAGGATTTTTGAAATAAGAATATGCCTATATGTTAATCGGGAATGTGAGCTATCATCATGCCAAATTTCAGCCCAATCCGACCAGTATTTTTCGCGTTCACTTGTCACAAACATACATCCATACATCCATACATCCATACATCTAAACTTTCTCATTTATAATATTAGTAGGATTTTGATCAATTTTGGAAAATACTTTTATTTCTTACTAAACTATTATCATTTTACAAAATAAATCTTTTTTACCCTCCCTGTTGCAGCAAACCTAAGTATTCGTTAAACTAATTCTATTTAAATAGGAAATAAATGTGCTATTTTTATGGAGGCATTTTAGTGTAAATCCAATCAGGTTGATGGAAATTCGCTTAGTCTGCAGGTTTGCTGCGGCGGGGGTATTTTAACTACAGTATCTAACAACAAATGGGACACGTTTTAATAACCAATCCGTAACGACAATGTTAAGTTATTTATTATGAATTTAATAGGACGAAATAATTTTGTAGAGTGGCTGTATGGTTAAATTTCCAATATTTGAACAGAGTAAATTTTTCAGAAACTTGGTGGAAAACGTATTAAGAAAATAAACTAGTTTAAAAATAAATTTCAATTTTGGGTGTGTTTCCTTTTCAATACAAACAATCAATCTTATTTTATTGCTGATACAATAATGATCCTGTTCGACGATATGGTTCGGCCGCTTAGAAAGCGACCTCCTCTAGCATTGGTTTAGCATTAGCACGCAGGTCGTTTTCTATGCGGCCGAACTATAGTTGTGGTACGTAAACAAACACAAGCGTATACGAGCTAAAAGCTATTGGGATTTGAACTTATTTTAATATTTTCTATATAGTACTAAATTATTACAAGAATTTGTTGGATTTTTGTGTGCAGCAAATCGATCCCTAAATATTTATTTTTATAGGCATATTGGGTATCAATTTAAAGATCTTATTCTCTAGATGTGACTTTTGCGGTTTGGATTATATATCGTGAAAGCCCTTCGTCCTACAGGCTTTCAAAATTTCAGAGTCTATGCTGAATTCTGTTGTTAATCATCTGAACTGTTTCAAGTTTATATTTGTTTACATCAAAACAGATGGCCAAAATACAGTTTTGTTTACTTTAGTACGAAAATAAGGTTATCTGTTCTAGTTGGTGATGTTTCAGTATTCAAGTAAAATATTGTAATGCTATTTGTATAAAATGTAAAGAAGAGAATGACTTACGTTGGATTTTGTGTTGTAACAAGGATTTTGTGTTTTCATAGTAAGTTTTATTGATGTTTTATAGTATTTAAGAAACATATTGTAATATTATTTGTTTAAAATGTAAAGAAGAGATTTTGTGTTTTCATAGTACTTTTCATTAGCATTTGTAATTTTACTAAGATGTCTCGAATAGATCGCGCAAGCAATGAAAATCAGCCAAACTATATATCGAATGAAACAATCGAATAATCGATATTTTAATTCGAATGAGTGTAGGACGTAAAGTAAAGTGCAGCCCAATGCAAAATAGGGACATAATGATAAATAATCGTTTTTACCCTTATCCACTATACATAACATATATCACAGATTTTGAAGTCACGAAGTGACGCAGGCTGCTAGTTTAATTTTTCAAAGCGACATAGGATTCTATTAAATTTAGCACAACTTCATTATAACTAGAATTAGTTTTTTTTTTCTAATTTCTCCATTCCATGTTCAAGAGTAATTTAATCAGTTTCCTCTTGAACGGTCTTGGACCAGTATATTGCTAATGAGATAAGGTAAGTTAAAACGCTGTTTGGGAGTAAAAGGATTGCACGTTAATGTTCTGGTGATATTCCCCAAGTTCATGTTGTTTGACGAGTCTTCAATTAAAATGTCACTTTTCTTTTAATTCCTTCATAGATAACAT